CTAGCAATCTCGATGCATATGTGGCGTAACTACCACTACGATTATTAAACATCAATTCACTGTTATATAAGACATGCTAACTTGATTCAATCACGAGGTATCTTTTGATAGATGAAGGTTGGCATGATCGTTAACTCCGCCCCCCACATTGGTGACCTGGACGTGATTTGAACACGCAGTGACGTTCACTTCGATCTGGTAACGCCTACTTCGATGGATGGTCCACATTGAATAGTTGACTTGCTACTTGTGACTACGACATTATCCACCTCCTCACGCTGTTGCAACTCAGTCTCGTCTCGATCATACACAACGTCAGCCTGCATACACTCGACTGCTAAAGGCAACACAGGAGCGACTACGACCGTGAAGTTAATACACCTCTCACATTCAGCATTAAAAAACTCGGTGACCTTAATCCAGCTCTCCCGGTCTTTCACAAATACAGCAACTAGTGGTATCCGTTCATCGAATTCTATCCCTGATAAAATTCTGGTGGGGGAGTATTGTGGCGTATCTACCACTACGATTAATAAACACATTTTCACTGGTATATAAGACATGCTAACTTGATTCAATCACGAGGTACCTCTTGATAGACGCATAATTAGTTTGTTTATGTTCTACGTGAATTTATGCCAGCCTTTGTGTTAAGTAAAAATATATATATTGCAGGAAATGCAATTTTTGTGTAAGAATATAGAATGCGCCACTTAAGAGAATTGATACTTGATGGACTTGACTTATTCGAAATAGAATGGAAAGAATAATTGCTAATGTAAACAAATGCCACATTTCAACAATCAATCAGGATCGAGATACCCACGCTACAATTGAGCTATTTGTTTTACAACTCCAATTAGAAATTAGGAGAAAAAACAATTAATATATAGATTAAAAGTTATATATTGTTTCCAAGTGCACTGCAAAAAATTTCGGATCAAATTACGGTATGAAGTTCTTTAGGAGTATTATCCGTAAAATCTATTTTACCGTAAAATCCGTTTTTACCATAAGAAGTTATACCTTAATTTTTATAATAATACTTACTTAATTAGAGTGATTCAGTGATTTTATGGTAATTATTACGATATATCAGATTTTTGTTCTGTTATATGTTTCGGCAAAAATTAATTATCCAGTAAAAAGTACAGACACCCTGAGTGCTGGTACTTTTGTGTGTGTGTATTACGTCAGTGAATGAAAACTGCATTTTAGATTATTTTATGTATTTATGTTTATAAAATATATGTTTTAGTATTAAATGTAATCCCAGTTTTTCAATTTAAACTAAAAAAAAGCTTTTAAATTTTTTTTTTCTGTAAAAACAATCAATAAAAAACACATAAAACGTTTTGATACCTTTCCATCTAATATCTCCCAAAGTATTTCAAAACATATAACCCAGTTTTGGCATTATAAATTGAATTTCTCAGCCAAAATTTTTAAACCTCAATTCAATTTTGATGTTTTGAGTATATCTGATGGATTAGTTTATGTCTGTATTAGATTTTCTGACACTTTTTCTTGTATCTTCTTTATTTAATTTCGACGCATTTTTTCTCAGTCATGGAATATCAAGAGAGATTTCAGACAAGAATTTTATCTTTCAAGATTTAAACTGCAACTGTGGGAAATGAAATATTATTAAAGAGAAGGTTTTCAAAACATTGAAGACAACAAACTTGTGAAAAAAGCTCGTTTAAAAAATGTGATACTATTAAATTGAAGAATGAATTTTACAAGGTATACAAAAAAATCTAAAAGCTATAATTTTTTGAACACTTTTTCTCTGATCAACCTGGTTTAAATTCAGTTCAAGTTTTCGATTTTTTTTTTGTTAATAATGAACTTTTTAATATGCATATTATATTCAAAAAAGTTGTGAAATATATAAGACAAAAGGAGAAGTTAGCACTCAGGGAAAAGTATATATTTAATATGCATATTATATTTCAAAAAAGTTGTGAAATATATGAAACAAGAGGAGAAGTTAGCACTTAGCGAAAAGTATATATTTAATATGCATATTACATTAAAAAATGCGAAATATATAAGACAAGAGGAGAAGTTAGCACTTAGCGAAAAATAGATTTTTCTCAAAATTATGTGGTTATTAATTCTGAATAGGCTATTCGGTAATGTGATATATTTCCTAAGTTTTAGAATTTTTCTAATTTACTTTTATTTTTGTTAGAGCTGATAGAAATCGATTGGAAAATTCTGTTCTACTCCATTTCCGAAGGCTATAATAATTTTATGACCACGGAATGAATATTAGTATATTACTACCCTATTAACATAATTAATTAAACATCACCAGTGTCAATAATAGTTTGGTAGTCAATAATAGTCATAATTCCCAGAAACAGAATGAAACCGAAAAATTATAGAGTAAAAAAAAAAAAATGATGATTTTTAAACAAATAAAAGATTACAGAAGGGAACAATTGCTTTTTTTTTGTTTTCTGTTGCATGAGATTTTTTTTGACGGATCTTATATACTTTAGTATCGCTGATTTCAAATAGATACTCTGCAATCAGTTTCTCTCTCCAAGCGAAATTTTTTTAAACAATGACAGTTTTAGTGCATTTTTGTCAAACTGTACAAGTTTAAAAATGTTATATATGACAGGTTGTAGCATAGATGTTACGACAAACTTCTTAGAGAGTTAGGACAATGCCTGGAAATGACAATATACGCCGCTAGAGGCTCTTTTCTATCACAAACTATTTTTTCGTGCACTTCTGAAATAGGGAAGCACGCCTAGCAGCGTACAACATTTCCAAGCATGAATTCCTAAGCAATTTTAATATTGATGATGTTTTTTAACTCTAATAGAAAGTTTGTTGCAACATGTATGCTACATCCTTTTTATATATAACGTTTTTAAACTTATAAGTTTCAACAAAATATGAACCTCAAAGTAATTTAAAAAATCTATAGCCTTAAGACCAAAACTAATTTCAGATTTGATATTCCTATAATCAGGCAAGATTAAGTATTTGTATAGGTGCAATAAAAAAAAAATTCCCAGTGTAATTTTTTAAAATTTAAAAAGCAGGCAAATGTATAAGTATTAAGTTGTCATTCTAAAAGTTCTGATTTTAGAATTAGATACTTTTAATTTGAGAAGAAGTCGAACCGTGTGATTTAACCCCTTAACGATCGGTCAATTTTCAAGAAAACGGTCATAAAAGTGTCTATTTTGCCAAATACACGTATTTGATTAGTGCTAGTCTCTAGTTTAAAATAAACTAACTATTTACAATTACCTTAAAAATATCCTGGTACTGCTATATGGTGTGTAAAAAGAGAAATAAAATGTTTTTCGCGCAAAAGAAATGAATTAGTTTTATTCTTATTGGCGCACTACTATTGAACACTCCAGCCCGTCAATATCAAGGGAGCGAGAAATACATGGAGCTAGGAGGAGAAATAGCGAGCGAAAACCCACTCCGTCATTTTCACGGCAGCGAGATGGAGATTAAATGGATTTAATTGGATTCCAGTAAGTGACATCACGCGTAAGTGTGAAACTTGATTGGCTTCTCAATCGACAAATGCCACGATTTACCTAAGATGACGTCACTTGCAGATATCCAATGAAATTGGTATACTTTTACGAGAAAAAACTCATTTTTATTTTCTAATATCGCCAGCTAAATCTCTATCTTTCTGACTGAGAGAGGACTTCATATTTTACTGTCGCTGAGCGATACTGATACGCAAGAATTAAATATAGATGATAAAAAATTCCTTAACATACTCCCTTCCGTCGACACCCCTCTAACGGTTGAGTTTGATTGCAAAGGAAGAAGCCATTATATACTTTGTTATTCGAAAATGTTTAGTTTTGATGATTGTATAACATTCATTATTTTTAAAATAAAAAAATTAGCTTCATTATAAATAAAAGTTTAGGAATTGTTAGAGTTATTAAGTTTCCCGTTTATTTTTGGAGAGGAGTTATCAATTTTCTTGTTTAGTTTTTTATAAAGGACAGTATCACCTTTATTTTTGTTGCAAGGATTTAGTTTTACTACGAACAAAAGTTAATAATTAATGAAGTTAACAGGTTTCTCGTTTATTAACTTTGTTTAGGGTGGTTGGAATCGTTTTATCGCCAAATCCAAGGGTGAACATGTAAAAAAAAAAGAAAAAAAAAGGCTGATTCCAGATAATTATATAATTATATCCCAGATAATTATTGTTTCTAACTGGGAGCCGCGATGACATAGGACAGTGTTTCCCAAACTTATGACTTTTGTGTACCCTTCCTAAATTTTTCGTAACGCTGTGAACCGCTAATAAAAAAATGAATGCATTTTTTACTATAAAAAAATTGCACAAAAGTTAAAAATCACAACTGGCTGTTGACTGCAAAAAATAGCCAATAGAAAAATACATAATAGTAAATTTTCATGTCTAGCTTTGCTTTTAAACAAATTTTTTTGAAATTTTCGTTTGTTGCGAGGTATTTCACATAAGATCGCGTACCCCCACTAAACTGTTCCCGTACCCCTGGGGGTACGCGTACCTCACTTTGGGAAACACTTACATAGGGGATAGAGCGTTCGTCTTCCAATGAGGTGAATCGAGTTCGAATCCCAGTGACGGCTGATCGATACGAATTCCGTATCCGGCTTGCACCGACCACAGTGCTGACGTAAACAATCCTCAGTGATAGATTGATCATGGGTCCCCTTGTGGTCAGGTTAACCGTGAGAGGTTCTCGTGGTCTTCCTCAATATATAACGCAAATGCGCGTTGGTTCTATCAAAAAGTCCTCCACTTCCCTATACTTGATTCAGGAGTTGTCTTGTCTTCTGAATTGGATTCAAAATTACAAGACTACGGAGTTAAACATTGGTAGTCGTAAACCCAAATTTGGGTCGGCTGTTCAACGACGGTTATAAAAATATAAGAAAATTCCCCCTGGAATTTAAATAATATAAACAGTTTTAACTTTAGCTAAATAAATATAATGGCTACTCACCCAGAGGAAGAGGCATAATTTTTGGATCTATGGTGGCGGAATTTGTGGGGAGTTAATTTTCTCAGGGTTGAGATGACTGTGTGGATTTTTTTGCCCGATTTGAACCCGAGGATCTTCCTATAGGGTGATGGCGGTTCCGTGGAAGGAGGTTGAGGAGAAGGTGGTAGAGAAGATGGGTCGTCCTCGTCCCCGTCCTCTGAAGCTCGGTGACTCAAGTCCGTTTGACTTTTAGCTTTTGGACGGAGGAACTTTCTTCTCTTTTTCACTCCGTCATCCGGAGGACTGCGATCTGAGCCACCTATCAACAGAACAAAATATTTTAAATATATATTAACGATATAATATATAGAAAAACCTAATATATTAAAGAACTAATATGTTAATGACTGAATATATTCATGATCAAATATATTAATGAACTAATATATTAAAGTAGATGAAGACTCTGCATGACATATTGCAGAAGAAAAACAATTCTCAGTGGAAAGATTTCTCAGGGACAAATTTATTTTGCCGAGAAGTTAAAATTTTCAGACCGCGGTAGATAAAAATATAGAGTTTTATTTATTTACTAAGATTTCAAATAGATTTGGTTATAAAAAGACAATGTGTAACCGTAGATAGGACATACTTTGTGCTATGAGATAGGGCAGTGTTTCCCAAACTTATGACTTTTGTGTACCCTTTCTAAATTTTTCGTAACGCTGCGTACTACTAATAAAAAAATGAATACATTTTTTACTGAAAAAAAATTGCACAAAAGTTAAAAATCACAACTGACTGTTGACACCACTAATTATTAACTGTTAACTCTGCAAAAAATAGCCAATAGAAAAATACGTAGTTGTAAATTTTCATGGCTAGCTTTGTTTTCAAATGAAAATTTTTGAAATTTTCGTTTGTTGCAAGATATTTTGCATAAGAACGCGTACCCCCGCTAAATTGTTCCCGTACCCCTGGGGGTACGTACTACACTTTGGGAAACGCTGAGATAGGGTATACTTAGTGCTATATGCACTAAAGCAACAAAAAAAATCCTGTGTCCAGAATTATAACGACCTTCCATTGTTCTATATTGTTAGAACTTTCATTTTAAAATTATGGTAAAATAACCAACAGCAGTTTAATTAACAGTAAAGTTTACGGTAAGGAACATTTTTTGCCTTTACGGTTTTGAAACCATTTACAATTAGTTTGGTTAAGAAACCATAAATACAAAGCTATACAGTTTTCTAAACCATTTACAACTAGCCTGTTTTCAAAACCGTAAAAAAGGAATTTAACTGGACATAGTTCAGAAGCTTTTACGGTTCTGAGATCTATACGTGAATGAGAGTATCGTATTCTAATAGTTCAGAGTCATAAATGGGGAGGTGCAGCACATTGGAAATTCTTCATGTCTTGAAAGGAATGGAGGAAATGATGGGGTGGTAACTCTGGAACTCGAACCCCTGTTCCGCCGGTCATGAGATTGACATATTAGCTCGTTCGGCTATACTATGTACCAAGCTGCAAGAAAATATGTGGCTTCATCAGGTGGACCTATTTGGTGCAATAAAAGTCTGATTGTTTAACCGCAATAAGTGAAAACAGTTAAAAAATTATATTTATCACAGTTAACAGTTTGAATAACATCTTATTTATGGTTATTTGACTGTTTTTTGTTTGAATATTCAAAAATAACAATTTAATAAATTCTTATTTAATAATTTTTTCCGAGAAATTTCTAACAAAAGTACATAGCTTATGAATACAAAAGAATGGTAAGGCATCATCTTTATTTTTATTTTCATCGTATGAACGTTTAAATGGCTTTAATGTAATTACTCTAATTAACTATAAGAATTCTAACCACTCAAATAAGCATTCTAATTCACTAAAAGAATTTATTTACTCTAATTCACCAAAACGTCACTTAGAGTACTTCATCCATTCTTGAGACATGGTTTTCATAAAATAATCTAAACTGGTACAGTAATTAAATTAATTCAAATGCATTGAATATATGTAACTAATCAATTATTAACAAAATTATTATCACGGTAATAATTATTAAATAAAATGTGTCTCATTTAAATTTCAGAGCACGTCAATAACGCAAGTGCAAGCATTACTTTGTATAGAATTTGATATCAAGAAATATTTATAAAAAGAATTTTATTGCAAGAATTTTATTAATATTACTGATTTGAGTTTGTTTTTTGCTATTTTAATCATATTTCAATCAATCAAAAAATTAATATTTAATTAATATAGTTAAATTTATAATAAACTTTTAAAGGGATTTTTAAAAATGTTTTCTGGAAACACTTAGTTAATTATGAATTTAAATGCAGTTTTTAAAAAATGCATAGACTTTTTTTTTATGATGGTGTATTATTTTTTAACTAATAAAAAATTCAGTAGATTGTGCATTTTCCAAACATCACCAAGTAATCTTTTTTAATTTTTGATAAAAATTATTATTTTTAAATTGAAAAATGGAAGAAAAAAAATCATCACGTAAAAGAAGTATCTGAAGTTCAACGGGATGAAAAAATGAGATAAAATTTTACCAAACCCGCAATCATAGTTTTTTCACCAATTTGAAATAAGAAAAACTAATACAATTACTTTTTTTAAATTACAAAAAAATCTCAATATTTTTGGTATTATTGTGTTGCAGATCCCTCTTAAATAATAATAAAAAAGGAATAAACTTATTACAATCCATAACTATGTAACTAAAACTACATATATTTAACTTATAAAAAGGCTCAATACAAATAATAAGCTACATTTGAAATTAAACAAATATCCAAAGAAGTAAAGTCAACTTTACAAAAACTAGATATCGCTTTTTATGACATCGCTCATTTTATTTATCTTTATTACAATACAGTATTAAGGTTTTCTCCAAATAAAATAACATCAATTTTCCTCATCTGAATCAAAAACGAATAAAATATAATCAAATCTTTAAAATATCTTCATAAAACCTTCGTTAAAGTACTGTTTTCATTGTTAAAAGCAATTGTATATTTAAATCACGTTTTTTGTTCGATTTCAGTGGGATTATAGTTGATGCCACTATATTGTAATAAAGATAAAGAAAATCGTTTGAATTGTTGGGAAGGTAAAGAAAACGATTTCTTCAAAAACTCATTACCACAGAAATTGGAAACCACGCGAGCGTTAATCGATTATTTCCAGCATTTAAGAACGACATAAAATGCCCCCTAACTCAGAAACAAAAGTAAGGAATTTTGAAAACGGAAATTTAAATGGTTTCCTTTTTGAGCCAGTTGAGATAGAACACTTATTATTATGTCTCATTTCGAGTAAAGAAATAGTTTGAGTAAAATAGCGGATGGAATTTAAATAGCGGAAATATTTTTAAATAGGATCAGTGAGTGAACGGCGAATCGATATGAAATCGATTTGGGAAAATTTCGAAGAAAAAAAAATTAAAACCAGATAAACGATAAATTTCTTATAGCTTGCATTTTATTTAAAATTATTCGCAATACTTTTTTTAATCTTATTTTTTGTTTAAATTAATGAGCAGCGAGAATTAGTAAAATCCAAAAGTAACACCACCATTTCAAAAAAACAACAACATTTTTTTTTAATTTTTTTTATTTATTTATTTTTTTTTTTTTTTATAGTTTGACAAAATGCACATTCACTGTAAAGAATTTCAGATTAAATTACAGTATAAACTGTCGCCAGTTTGTGGGCATCATCTGTAAAATTCATTTTATAGTAATATTTATTTAGTTAGAGTGGTTCAGTGATTTTACAGTTATTATTACTGTAAAATTTAAGGTATATGAGATTTTTTTGTTCCGTAACATGTTCCGATAAAAATGAATTTTACGGTAAAAAGTACTAGCAGCCTCAATGCCTCAAAACTTGTAAAATATAAGGTGCGGTTTGCGAATTTTGATACATGGTGCAAAATACATACAAAATGATACAAAAATGTACATGGTGCTATTCTATAAATGTAATCGACTCTTTTTTCTGGCATTTTCATACTAATACAACACTGCAATCAGTATGTTTGAAAAGTAATTTTACGATGATACCATTTTTTTTGTTTTTAGATTTTTGATAAATATGTTTGCTTTTGCGACATTTTTTTGCGAGATTTTTTTTAGCATTCAAATCATGTTTACAATATTAAAAATATCTATAGAGAAGACATATATTAAGAAAAATCTTTCGAATAGTAGATATTGTGGGAAAGGTAATAATAATAAAAAAAAAAAAACGATTTCTACAAAAACTCATTACCACAGAAACTGGAAACTACCCCAGCGATAATCGATTATTTCCAGCATTTAAGAAAGACACAAAATGCCCCCTTAATCCTTTAGTTTAGTTTTATATTACATATCTTATATTATCAATCGCATAATTTAATTGCGTTAAAAGTTTAGGAAATATCAACTTGATATGAGTAAGTTTTTAAAGAAAAATGAGCAAATTTAACGAAGTTATCGAACATATCGCCAGCAAACATCTTAGAAGTGTTACGACAAAAGTCTAGTATTCGTTGAGTTTCATTAAATATCGTTCATAATATTTTTGTATAGCCCGAAACTTATAGAATAATGTAATAATATCAGTTTTATGCGATCAATAACACTTAAAAATCAACTATAAAAGTCGAAAAGCAGTTAGAAGGTCCTGATGCTTGTGTTAGCCGGTTTGAAATTTTAGTCAATTAAATTATAGTGATGTTACATCTTAAGTTCATCAAAAATACATTATATCTACTATTATCATGAGATTTTTTTATGTACAACAAAATAACTTTCTACTTCTAAACTTTAAAAATAGCTAAAATCCACCAGCGTTTCGTGAGCGATCTTCCTTTTAATATATTCTACTCATTTATATTTAAAATACCACGAATATAAATCTATATCTTAAATTAATGTCTTTTTCACAAAATTGAATGCTTCGTGCGACATATATTACGACTCTAATCGCATTTTGCAGGGAATACATTCAGGGCCGGATTAACCTATAGTCACACTAGGCACGTGCCTAGAGCATACGAAATTCAGGGGCCTACGAAAAACTTGGGAGAAAAAAATTTGTTGACAAAAATAATTTAGCTTTAAAAACAACAAGTGTATTTTGCACAAAATTATGAAGATACAAATAAAAATATAATATTTTTCGGTAATAAATTATTTTGCAGAATCTTATGATCTAATATATTACTTTTTTGCGATTTTTGGATTCAACGAAATCTTGTATTATGCTGTCGAATTCCAAACTACGCAAAATGTCGTATTCAATAGA